CTTGATGTTGTTAACTTTTAATTTAACGTTTAACAGCAACGGATTTAATTACAATACATCTCGCCTTTTGATTAAATTCCAAAAAGACAAAGAGTAAATATTTAAATTAATACTTAAACAATGGTACCATATATTTATGGCATGTAAAGCTGGAGTTTTCGCTTTTAACCGTTGCGAAAGACTTAAATTTCCTAATCTTGATGCTCATTTGATTCTAGTTAGACAAATTATTAGGCGCATATACAACTATTTTGAAATTTGACTATCATACAATATTGTGTTTGGGTTTAGCCTAAATTTATTTAAATTTTTTTAAAACTGATGTATCATAAATGTCATTGAAATTGAAATCGGCAATTTTACACTAATGCGTAACGGAATTTACTATCCTATTTGCTCAGGTTATGCCACGTCAAGTAATCTGACTAGCAGCTAAAGAATTTAAGAGCTGAAATAATTCATAATGCAAATATATATTGTTAGATAGATGCATTATAGTGTGATTATATACATAGTTATATGTCAACTGATTTATAAACAAATATGCATCATACTGTTATTGCTATAGTTAGTAGTCGCTCCAGTTACATGCAAATGATGCAATAACTCATTATATATTTATATTTATATAAACTCGTTTCTTGTTCTTTACAATGGCAATCGAACGTAATAACAATATCAATAAAACAAAGAATAGCAAACAATTATTCATCTTGTAATTTGATTTATTGTTTGAATGTATTTTAGGTTCATTAAAAAATCTAAAATTGTAAGAATTTACCATTGAATATAGTTTTTCCTTTTAGGTAAAGGACAAAGTTTTACATGCATGCATGTGCATTTTCATTCACAAAGACCTTTTTGATGCAAAATAAGTTATCTGTAATGATCCTACTTATCAGGTAATCATTTGAGACAATAAAACCACGTGCATATATTTCGTAAAGACTGCAAGCGATTGGACCAAACCCCTATAAAAAAAATTCTGAAAAAAACTCCGATAAATGAGTTTTTATTCCGAATATCCTAAAGAAACTCAGACACGTGATCATTTTTCTGAAAATTTTTTGTAGGGGACATCTACTAGAAGAAAGCGTATTTTTATCTAAACCAATTATATACCATACCACTAATAATTCGTTATCCTTAATATATTGAAAGGAGAGGTAGAAATGGAAAGAAATATCAAGCTGATAAATTTCCCCCTTGGATTTGTTTTTCTAAACAGTGGCCAAATTCTTAATTGAGATTTGGTCCTGAAGTCCTTGCATCCAGTTCTTGACCATCACGACATAATAAATTTTTGAAGAATATAATTAATATTGTTTGAATGTAGTTCTCAGTAAACATAAATACAAAATATTGGACTGACAACAAAATTTTTAACACAGTACACCTCCCCTGATAACATATATTCGGAGTCTAATTTAAAATTATTTTATTCGTTGACCATATTAAATCAATTGGCGCAATTATTTGGCATTATTATTCATCTATTTTATTTGATTTGTATATTAGTTTATTATATAAATACACGCACAAGATTAAAAAATATTTTCATTCCCTTACGTATCATAAAAACATCATTTTCCTTCAACATTTTATATTACTATATAGTATACTGTAATGGCTCCTCAAAGAAGACGAAGAACAAATAGAAAACATGTTCAAATTAATATACTCATCAGAAATGAAGACACGTTGAAACTCATTGAGAAACTTCCTCAACAAATTCAAAATGACGACTTATTGATAGACCAATTTTTTAATGGATTTTCTATGTAAATTATAACCGATTAAAAAGCTAAAATAAAAATTGACAGGTAAGAAAAGACTTATTATGTAAAAAATTGTAATAAAGTACTTCTTTAATTAGAATTTCTTATTATTTTAGACGTTTTATCTGATAAAATTTCATTATTATTATATGTATTTGTCTGTTTGAATTTTTTTCTTGAAAAACATGAAATATTATTAGCTGTCTTTGTAGTATCGGATAGACGTTTATAAAATAATCTTCATTATTTAATTATTAAATTGTCATCTTACCATTTTTAATTCTTCTATCAGTTCGCAATTTAAATATTGTTTACTTATACAAAGAGCGTATTTACTGTATAATAGAAGATTATTATTTTTATTTTATATTATTTATTATTGAAATAGCTAAATAATAAATTTTTAAGAAAATTGTTTACCTGATTTGGTCTAGAATTTTCCGATAAAGGTTTGGTTCTCAACATAAAATAAAGAAAAAATTAATCGGCAATAAAATAAAATTTTGTTATACGGCATCATAGGAAGGGTGGCTCTTGGACTGAGAATGTGCAAAGGACTGAGAAAATTATTTCTCCTGTTTATTCTAATTTCGATTTGTTCATCATCAAAAGCATAGCTAAGTAAATAATGAAAGCTAATTCGGATAGGAAATTTTAGCGAATAATAATTAGGGAAAAAATTGTTTTTTTTCGATCACGTGATTTTGTGATTAATGAGTGACATCCCAAATATAACGCGGTACACAATGTGGTCAACCAATTTGTATGAAGCCTTGAACATCGCCAAATACCAAAAAATACCTACTGATGTAGGTGGTCCAGGGTGGGTTTAGAGTGCCCTATTTGGGTCACCCTAAATCTCTACAGGCAGGACGATCTCTTTTTTGGAGGTTGGATTTTTTTTCGTTCAGAGTGGGTAGAGTAGCTTCCTTTGTAGGGGTTCATCCCATAGGCTCGAGTCTTTGTCTAAATTTTAAAAATAAAAATATAACGCGGTACACATTTTTTCAGGGCCGGAATTATGATAATTTCGGTCAGTACCCAAAAAAGGCAATAACTTTCCGCAGGCATTATCTATAAAAGGAAAGATTTTCATGATTTTTTTTTTTTGGCTGGTGTGAGAATTAAATCGTAACTGTTCCTAATAGATTTATTTGTTTATTGTTTACACGTTATATGAAATATTCTTTCTCTCTCTTTTTTTTCTCTTTTCTTTTCTCTCTTTTATTCCTTAAAAATACTTTATCATGTTTAAGAAGAACTAGGTATTCTTAACTGCTAACTTAAATGTATTGTATGTAAAACAGAATATTTTGCATATATTGAAACTTTATAATATACGCGTTATTTTTACAGAAAATCATTGCCAAATTATAACTTAATACTTGCGCTTTACGGCATAATTTGAGTAATTGGTCAAACAAAACTGGCTTTTACTGAATAAATGAAGTTGTTTAACAGATATGAAAATATGCTCAACGATCATACAAACTAATATCTTTAAATATTCATGCAGTTATTTTTCATTATACCTTTTATTTTACAGCACTTTAATAAAATAATACTGACTTTAGTCATATAAGTAAAGTTATTCAGCAGTTGGGAGAACACTCAGGTACTGGTTTCTATTAACTTGAGTAATATATAATTAATAGTTAGTGGATAAATGTGTTTAGTTTAGTATGTATAAAACTTTTTGTATCTATTTGATAACAGATAAATATTAAAATACCAAAATTTTGGTCTTTTTGTTATATTTGGAGCGAAACAAATGTTTTTCTTAATATGTTGTACAAAAATAATAATAACATCCAATTAATTTTGTAGATTAACTAGAAGTAGCCCGTTGCTTCGCATCGGGTTGTATAAATTGATTGATCGTCATTTTTGATCACACATTTATCAAATTTAGATCAAAGTGACTAAATTAATTTTGAATGAAAACATTATGTGATATATCAGTTATAACTTTAAATGTAAAATGTAAAATTTAAATAATTTCTGGAAGTCTTGGCAATTAATATATAATTTGACGCAGACACAGTTAAAATTTTTAATTTATAACGTGGTGTCATTTTAATTTTGGGAGAAAATTGCAAAGGTATAATTCCGGCCAGAATTATACAAATTTCCTTTTCCTGCACATTAGTAATTAGAATGAATTTGCTGATCAAGTGTCTTAACTATTAAGCATAGATCAGGCGCAAATACATTAATAGATCATATTAAATGTTACACTACATTAGTAATTAATATTGTATGTCTATAAGAAAACGTAATAGAACAGGTGTAGAGGCGCAGATGAATAATACATTGGACAATTCAAAGATTATTTATATAGGCTAATCTAAACGTTAGTCACACAAACACAATTTTTTTAATTATATAGATTGTACCACATTTTAATCCAATCATATTTAAGAAAAAGTAATGTCACGTTGTAGGCACGTGAATGAGAATCATTTCCTCATTTAGTACCTTCTTGTCTACTGGGGCATATATTTTTTGTTTAATAAAAATAATGTAATCGAAATTTAAAAGTAATATTGTTCAAATTCTTATAAGAAAGAAATCTTACGTTTTACGCGTTGAGGGATCTACCTTTTTTTTTTTAAGATTTCACATTTCACAAATTCACAATGACAAATCCTCATTATGATTACCCACTTGCATTTACAATAATGTTAATCCTTAGTGCATATTAATCTTCATCATGTGCAACTGCGCCAATGTGTAGCCAAACAATATTAGCATTATATTGAGCATCACAAAAAAATATCTTCAAGCGAATAAATGCGAGAATTTTTTCAAAGAATGTTCTTTTATTTTTTGTTATTGGTAGATATTTTTAATTTTTTTTTTTTTTTTGTGGCTATCATATGTGATGGAAATTACCAAACTTAAGCAAAATCGGTGGCGATTCAACCAATTTGTAAATGTTCACATGATTCGATCTAACTATTAGTTACTTAATCTGCCCACTTTGGATTAATTACTTCGTCGGCATTGGTTATCTTATAATAACCAATAATAATACATTTTAAAAAGAATAAGGCAATGATTGCTGCTTTCTCAATTCTCATTCAATGATTTCTACAATAGGTTGAAAATGTTAAAACAAAAGATTATGGTTGATTAAATGAAAATATAAATGAATATTTTATATGTTAAGTGTTTAACAACTATGAATTTTTTATTTTGAACAATAATAATTCCTAAATATTATAAAAGAATGCCAATAATCACTTTAAAATTGAAAATTTCGTTTATTTAAAATATTAATTATTATTCTATAGTAATTTTTTATTTTCTCTCGTACAGCGATGCTGTAGCTTTTTGAAAACTTGAAAAACAACAATAAAATAATGTGTAATATCTTTTATCTTAAGAAATTTTATATATATGCGATTTATTTATAATACATTTAAATTATCACCGCCGTTAATTTAATAAATGAAAAAAAATTTAAAATAACAGGTGATGAATCATAATAATTATACGAAATAAATTTTAGTTATTCTTAAAATTTTTTTCATACTGCATTTAAATTTAAATGCTTTGTTCATAAAAAAAAGTAATTTCCAAATTTTAAGCTAAATAATATGATATTAAAAAAAGATACATTTCATAAATAATATTTTCTTAAAGCAAAAGTGGAAAATGAATTAAAATTTTTTTTTAAAAAAAAACTTATATTTTCAAAGTGATAAAAAGAAATAAACAATATATACAATGAATATTCAAATATAATCAAATAATGTGACAAGAAAAATAACAAATCTTCCCTCATAATCTGGACTTTTTTTGTTTTATGCCAAACATATCTCATATTCAATAAAAAGAACATCCATTATATAAGGCTTGTTGTATCGGGACATCAGTCTCTTGTTGTTGAATATTCAAAATAAGTTCTAACATGGTAGGAAATTTCCTACTGACAACCCTTCGACGTGGAACCCATCGGCGTCTTCTATTTCTTCTATAAGGGTCCATTGAGTATACTTGTATAAATATAATGTATATTTATATACTCGACGAAGAAGTATAAAGGTACGTATAGAAGTAAAAATTAGTGTGTTTTCTTTATGTATCGGACAAATTACATATATTGCATAACAAGACTTTTGCACTGTGTTTTCTTTATGTATAGGACAAATTAGAACTAAGTAAGTAGGAGTTCAATGAGAAATTTTCGCATTTTTATAATTTAAAAGATTTAAAGAAAACCAATTCGTATAAACGATACAATATTATGGAATGAAGCAAGCATCAATAGAAAACTTGTTTCTAACAAGAGCAGATATTAAAGTTTATCATTATCACGAAATACATGAGAATTTCATACATTTTTTTCATGAGATTTAGAGCAGAATATAGTTTAATATACTGTAATCTTAAACAGATTTGGTTATTGCATGATCAAAAAAAAATAACAATAATATAAAACTGTCGTTACATATGTGAAAACACAACTGCTGTGTATGTGAAAAAAAAACGGTATAAATATATTAAGACCGAAAATTCAAATTTTCGTATGATAATCGTATAAAATTCTTTATTTACGAGATTTACGAGAATGGGAAATCTCAAATTGATTGATAAAAACACTAAAGATTTGATGAAGAAATCTAAAAGATACGACGGGATCATCTTTATCTGTTCAAGTATTTACTATTTGAAGAATATCTGAACCCTTACTTTATACTTGCATAGATGACAATATACATTCACTCGGCTAAATTTTTTTTTTTTTTTTTTTTTTGATAGAATTCATAAATTATACTTTATTGAACTTAACAGATGAAGAAGTTGTGACTAACCAAATAATCCCAGATAATGAGAAAGAACAATATGATCCGTGTTCAGTAAGAAACACAAACTCACAAAGTTCCCATGTATAAAAAAAAATGTACTATATAGGTATTAGATGGGGTGGTCTAAGGGGCGGATATGTTACCCACAGCATCTATTAATCAAACTGTTCAAATTTTCACCCCCTAAATAACTGCATGATGACACATAATCTCTTACAATGGCTAAGTCGAAAAAAATGGTCTATTTATCTTGCTCAAGTTTTTCAACAAAGATAAGAGAATCTTTGCACACAATAATTTATATCATTTATTGCTGTGTAAAATATGTAATTGTAATAAGTATAATAAAGTTCATCTACAGGAATTTTATGAGATGATTTACTGCAAGTAGTTTAAGGACTACTCAAGTATTTCAATTTTTTTTTTTTTTTGTGCATAAAAAAAAAATTTTATAACAATGCTAAATGAAAGTATTTTATTTTGCCTGGTTTTATAATGATTGGACAATGGAATTGCAAAGTGGAAATTAATATAAAGCGAAATGATCGACAAAAAGTAAATAAATTAAAATATAATTTCTAGTAATTTAAATTGGTAAAATTTGAAAGTTTACTTTTAAAGTTAGCCTTTTTTGTATCATTTATTTGTATTCATTTCGGAATTAAAAATCCGACCTTTTGAGTTGGAAACCATTTAGTAATTAAATAAGGATATCAATATAGGAGGATATCCGATATCAATAAAAATATAAAATTTAGCCGAATTGAAAGTGTAAAGTAAAAATACAAATTTAAAAAATTCAAAATTTTTTTTTCAAAACTTAATATTCACTTTTATGTCATATCACCCATTAAAGAAATTCTATATTTTTAGTTACCCTATAAAAAATTTTTTCTGTGTTTTTTTTTTATTCAATATTATTTCTATAAATGTATCATATTCACGGAATTATAGCCTCAAACCATGGAAATTATCCAAAGTTGCTTAGACTTTTAGTTATTTTTCCGTAAATGTATCATATTCATGAAGTTTTTACAGAAATAACGGATAAAATTTTTTACAGGTGCAAAAAGGCTCTCCTACGAGGAGGCAAGATAACTGAATGTGTCTTGATAGTAATAATATCTTCTATTTCAAAATAATGTAACCGAACCGACTATTATTTAAGTAACTCATAATATTTTACCCTCTAAAACTCTTTCTTACAAACGTGCACAATTCTCAAAAATATAGCCGAAATTGCATTATTTCAAGGACGGAATCACGATAAATTGAGTCAGTTTCTGAATTTCAGCTGACATTAATTAAAAATTCCTTAAGTAATATGTAGAGACGTGTGAATTGTGATTAACGAATTCCAAAGAACTACCACTGATTCAGACTGTAAAGTGACAATATTCCCTGCAGAAACTCGCTAGGAATTATCAGTAGACAACTTAGTTTGGTAAGACTTCACATAAAATAATTTTATTAACAATAGGCATTATATTACTATGACATGAAATATGCGATCAAAATAATATGGTAATTGTTTTATTTAGTATGTTAACTATCTTAGAAGAAGAAAAATACACTGCTGGTAATTATTAAGGATTCTTTATATTTCAGTTTTTGATATTTTCGAAAACATATAGTACATACTATTGTCTTAATATATATTGTTCAGGAATTTATGCAAATGGTTCATGGTTGAGAATTCCAATGTATGTAAAGCAACCTGTGATCCCAAAAGCAACGAATCTTCAGGTCAACATCTTCCCAGGATTTCCTCATACCTTACAGACCCTATCTGATTTTGAGAATAGGACTCATCTTGCAGTCAAATTTATCTTCTCACATATCCAGGACGTCTGGTGCTCAGGAGACTGGGACTTAACTGAATACATCATCAAGTGGCTTACCGGTATGGTGTTAATATTTAAAATTGCGCTCACAGATAATTTAATTATTTGAAAATTGATATTTACCAAATTTTATCACATTATTAGCAAAGAAGGAATTCGAACTGATCCCAAAAAATTGAGAAGGAAAGATTTTCCCATGACCGTAGAATTTGAGGATTTTTATTAATTACACTTTATTTATAAAAATGGAATCCTTCCATCTTTATAATTCTGGTGGTTCATTTAGACCAGAAAGTGATGTAATAATAACCTTTTTTTTTTATTAAATTTTTCCACTGATCGTCTTCAATTTGCGTAGCGTATTTTTCTACTTGTCTGTGCCCATAAATTCATCACAATGGCTCTAAAGCATGATGTAACAAGATAATAGATTAACAAGGTAAAGATTCTTGAAAACTATCTCAAAGAGTTTTGAAATGACATTTCGAATTACTATGTCATAAATTCATAATAGGATGAATTTAGTTCGTGCAACTCATCTTAACGAAACAAGTCGTATAAAGATTAATTTAATGTTAAGCTAAAATTTTCAAAATAATCTTATACAAACAGAGAGACAATGAGAGGCTTTTCAATATCGAAAAACAAGCTTCTGAAAAGTTGATGCTACGAATAACAGAAAAGTGAAATAAGCCGAAAAAGATGAAAAAGTAAATGTAAGAGAATTCAAAAAGTTTAAACTTCATCAATTATAATAATTTTTCAACCAGTATTTTTTGCTATTTCTTATTGTCCCCTTTTTCTTTCATTCTATTTCATTTTCCTTTTCTTTAACCAGTAAGCTGAAAGCCTTGATCTGGAAATAAGGATGTCTGTAGCGATAACTGACGACGTGAAAAGAAATTTAATACATTTTCATAGTAATCAGTGTACAAACCATAGTAAGTAGACTCCAAATTCCACAATTCTAAATAATCGAAATGCAACAAATTTAATTAAAACTTGAATTGATAATTTATAGTTCTGGAATCTGAAGTTACGACATGAATTCTTTAAAATTATTCATTTAATGATCAATGAATATAATAAGATTATAATTACACTACTCAAGAATTTCAAGAATAACAGCGATATTTCTTTCTAATAAACTTTCTGCAAATAGTTTAATTGTTTATAGCCAATCTTCAAGAATTGTTTACACTAGATATATTTAATATTCACGATTGCACTTATAATTCTGATTAAAGTTCGAAATATATTTATTATCTCAATAAATTACATAAATCATGTCATGATTAATTATGGGAAAGTAAAATTTTTTTGTTAATTTTACATTATAATTATACGTTAACTCTAGTCGAGTTCATAATGCTGCGACTACAACAATAAATAAAAATAAATTCAAATAACACTTTTACCACTTTTATCTAAAAGGATAAAAATGAACATTTTTACAATGTTACTTCATTATTTTATTGAGTATAATATTAATTATATTAATTGTAAAAATAATAGTTGAATACTAACGCCGCAAGTTACCACTAACCATATTTAGATTTCCAAGAAAAAGAATATTCTTCTATTCTTCAGAAATTTTGCCAATTGTAACCAACGTGACCTTATTTTTATTGATATAAACAACAATTTAATTAATAATAGATAGTATAAATAAAAATTTTTAATAAATACATATAAAAAAAAATTAATAAAAAAAAAATTTAAAAAACGCACCGGAATTTTTTAAATTTTTTTTATTAAAAAAAAATTTTTAAAATATATTTGCTATTAATAAGGCAACTAGGCAATTCGATTGGATCGATTTGTCAGCTTTACTTAATTTCCTAGAACGAGAAATTTGGATTGTGTATGACATCATTTTCTTAAGAATATAGGTATTCCCGTGCCGATCTTTGTTTCTTGTTTGGATTGTAGGATTAGATTGGATCCCTGTACTCTGTAGTACAAATCATGATGATTGCACGGTTGCACCTTTGTTCGATACGTGATAGTCGGGATACGGGATACACCTGATTTGGCTTAATTAATGGCGCAGTCGTGCTTATTTGACGGACAAATATATCCTGAACCGGGGGCCGGGGGTCCAGGTTTTTTATCCTAACATATCAGCTGATCAAAAAAGTCCCCTAATTTTTTTGGGGTGAAAAATTGCAAAATTATGATCTGGTGTTTTGCTATAAATAGTATACATTTTTTAATTGGCAGTTTTCTTGTATTACATTTTTCGAAGTCTTTGCTCAACCATTAACGAAAATAAAGATTATCAAAAAAATTAATATTCGGTACAACTGCTGATCATTACATATTAATACACGCGTAAATTTTTTTTTAAAAATTTTTTTTTTTAAAAAAAAATGGAAGCTAACGAAATTTCTTTACCACTTCAAACAGATCAACAAGTTAAGAAAAAGAAACCTGTTGAAATTCATAATTATCCTAAAGAATCCATTATTCAATATTCTGATAGTGAGCGAAGTTATACTTATGATATTATTAAAGAAGGAAACTATCCACATGCTACTTATCTCAAATATACAAAAGGTCAAAAAGGTTTTCGAATTCCAGATAATTATGAAGTTAAAGTAAGTTTAAGAAAACCTAAGACAAGACAAGTAGTTCGATGTATGATTAAATATATGGAAAAAAATCCAGTTTATTGGATATATTATGGAGATAAATTTCAATATCATGTAAAGTCAGAAAAATCAAGCTCAAATGCAGCATGTTTATATGCTAAAGTATGTAATTGTAATAAACAGAAATTAATATTAAAAGAACTATTCTAAAAATTTTATTAATGTAAAATATAAAATTTTATAATAGGCCTTAAATCCAGAAATTAAAACGCGCTATTCAGGACCACATTTTTTTGGACTTCATTTAGAAATACTTCAGCAAGCAAGAGATATTCATCAACGAGCAACAGTCCTAAAATCATTTGACAATTTAACTTCAACTGGGCAGAATAATCGAGCCAAAAAAATTGCAAAGTCTATATCTACAATATTTGATCAAGTAACGGCAAAAGATTGTCATTCAGATGATAATCTTAGTCTAAAATCTATTGAATTTGATATTGGAAATAATTCTTTTTACCTTAGTGTAAATAAGGAAAATATTGAAGAAATAAAGCATAAAGCAAGAGCTGCCGTTCAAGCATGTGATAAAGGTCAAGTATCACGCGAAGGATATCGAACTTTGGCTTCAATTAGTCAAGATTTGCCACGTGAATGGAAAGTTTCTGTAGAAAAAAGAGATATTACACGCGAAATGAATGAAATTATACCAATTTCACTGATAAATATATTGCCAGGATCTGATGATTTTGTAAATTCGGAAATACATATCAATGATGCTGAAATTGTTCATAATATGCAACAATCAATTGGAAAAGGTGGACGACGAAATGTTGTTGATATTTTAAAATATCTAATACCTGGTCTTATTGAAAGGAAAATTTTAGATGTAATGAATCCAAAAATACATTTACGAATCTCTGGTGATGGGAGAAACGTTGGACGGAAGGTTAAACAGGTTATGATTACTTGTTCAATTCTTGATGATATTGATAATCTATATCGGCCTGAAAATCATTACACTATAGTCCTCTATCCTGGTGTTGAAAAATACGAAACTTTAAATAATGTTTTAAAATCACTAGCTATGGAATTGAGAAAATTAAAAGAAGAAGGTTTTAAAGACAATCAGAATATAGAGTGGAAGGTTGAACTTTATTTCTCTTCAGATTGGAAATTTCTTGCAATGTGTTTAGGATTAAATGCAGCAAATAGTAGGTATTTTTGTCCTTGGTGTGAAGTATCAAAAGAACAACAGGGTGATTTCTCATATGAATGGACAATCAGTAAAACCATGGATCAAGTACGTGAAGATTATACATTTTATAAGGGACATATTCGACCAGCAATTTTTGATATGATTCCTTTACAACACTGGGTGCCAGACGAATTGCATATTATGTTACGTATTACAGATGTTCTTTGGCGATTAGTACTTGATGAACTCAGATCTAGAAATACCTGGGGAGAAAGAGCAAGAAATGTAATAATTGAAGAAATGAAACGAATTGATGTTAAATTTCATTTTTGGCTTGAGATAGGATCAACTAACTGGCAATATACTTCTTTAATGGGACAAGATAAATTAGTTGTACTTCAACATTTTGATTTGTCTAAACTTTTTCCATATTCACGAGCAGTTCAAATTCGAAGTTTATGGGATAAATTTTATTTACTTCATAAAGCAATGAAAGATTCTAAAACTGATGCAACGCAATTTTCTAATGATGCTCGTGCGTGGCTGCATCAATTCTTAGATTCTAATTACTTTTATCAGGCAAGTGATATCACGCCTTATATGCATGTATTAGTGTACCATATTCCAGAAATGATGCGTATTCATCATAATTTTGGGTTAGCAGCATTTTCTTGCTCAGCGGTGGAAAAAAAAAACCACCAACAAGTTTCTCACTTTTTTAAAAGAACAACTAAGGATGGTGGTACCGGAAAAGGACGAAAGTCTGCAATTATTGATATTCTTGAATATGAAAATAGACTTTTATATTTTAAAGAACATGATGAAATTGACTCAATGCAATTGCCAAAACGTTTACGTGTTAAGTAATATTTGTTTAAAATATTAGTTTAAAATTTTGTTTTACAGATTCTTAATTTACGAAATATTTCATTTACTTCATTATCAATTAATAATTAAACCAATAAAATAGTTTTCGTTACATAGACTAATTTTTATACAAATGAATTTCTATGATTTCAGTTTTATTTTTAATTCTGTATATGCTTCTAAATACACGTTTTTTTTAAAACCCTCTATCCTTCTTTCTGCGCATTAATGTCTTTATTTTTCATCAATTCTTTAATAAAAATTTTCTATAACTCTTGTACGTGAAATTGTAAAATTTATAAAAATAAACCCTGATGAATATACAATACTACGCACATCTGATTTTGTTTTTCTCTTCCAGCAAATCACGATTTGTATGGGTTTAGGTTTATATATTCGTCGTTTTTTAGCTGTATGCATTGATGTCTTATTTTGATCTTGTAGAGATTCTTGAAGAGGATCGTGTTCTTGAAGAGGATCGTGTTCTTGAAGAGGATCAGGTTCTTGAAGAGGATCAGGTTCTTGGAGAGGATCAGGATCATTCGGATTTGGTGATTGTTGGTATGATAAAACAAATGTTTGTTGTTGCTGTGAAAAATATTTGATACCCCAATTATCATCTCCCAATACATTTGATAGCGTATGGTAAGAACTAACACCTTTAAAAATACACTTATAATTTCCCGTTTTTGGATAATAATCGTGTATATATCCTTTAAAAACGCCAAAAAATTGACTTTCTGTGCAACTAACCATAATACGAACACCCCCAACATGTCTTGAATTTTTTTTTAGTTTTTCTTTTATATGATAAACCAAAGCCTGTCGCGTTTCTTCAATAGCTTTCTCAGGCAAATCATAAACTGTCGGTCTCATAGTATTAGCTTCTTTAACTTTTAATATATGATTTTCTAAACCAGAGTGTCTTTTATAGATTTTTCCACATGTTCCACACTCAAACTTCTTGCATAACGTATTATTTGACAATAAGGACATAAGTACAACCCGGTAATTGTCTATAAATAAAGTTTTTTTAGACGAAATGCCGTGTTTTATATAATATTGGACGCGTTTTTTTAAAATAAAGAGCAAACTACAATTAAATTTATCTATTTCTTACTTGAAATTTTTTGATCGGTTCCCTTCTTTTTTGATCGGTTGCTCGGTTTGCTACATATTTAAAATATTTTTATTCGGGGTGTTGATAAATTTAGAGGAGACGTTTAGGGATCTGCAAAAATTCTAAGCCACTAAAAGCATATGATCTATGTAACACATAACAAATATAGGGTGCGCAAATCAGGCCCAATTTTTCCAATCAGCCGATATGAACCGCCTATAAAATAAAGAGTAAGCGTCACGTGATTAATACAGTTGCGGTCTAGGATAAGAACCCGAACCCCCGGTCTATTTTAAGGACACTCTTATTTAACTACCCCAGCGTAAATGGCCCCGCACATGTGACATACATATAATGTGTGACGAATAGGATTTTGCTACTAAAAAAATTAAAGTCCCTATGAAAAATGGAGGTGATGAAAAGTCACGTGATTTTAGTGACATTTTTCAGGTTACGCTGGGAAAATAAAAAAAAATCTACTAAAAATATGATTAATTTTGGCCAGTAAAACTAAAAATGTGATTTTGTATTACTATATGATTCCATATTAACAAAGGCATTGGTGATATAGATAGTCTACTTTTTTTGATATTGGTTGACATTTAGAATGGTACAATTTTGTTCTTCCGGGAGAGCAAGTACTTTTTTGATAGAAGTCGATATTTAACTTATAAATTCATATACCCGACTTTTACATACAAATGACACATGATAATTTACATGCATATCAAACTACATTAGGAAAGTTCTAGGCCTATCTATTTATGCACTCTAAGAAGATTCCACCTGAAAAAAAAAAATATTAGTATTTGTTCATACTTTTAAGGAAGGACGGATACTGTTATTTTATGTTAGTTTTAGTAAATATTTTTGCCAATTTTCTAAGAATGATCTCTAAAAATTTCTTAGTCGTAATTAAAATACTCATTCTTTGATAGGACTGAATAAATAGTTCATTAAGTTCGCTTTTACCAATGTAATAATATAACTGACACTTATATAATAATAAAATTCTGATATAATTAATATACACATGATATTAAAACAAATGGAAAAATTATTATAAGCCTAGAACATTCTAATGGAAGCTTTCTAAATTCTTAAGGTGTTAATTTAATTTTACGTATCGACCCTATTAAAAACAATAATTATTATCATAATAATTTTACAACGCGTACCGAAAACAAAGCTTACTTTATTCTTAATACCAAATTATTTACATAATTTTAAAAATAATTGAGGTTTTATTATCATTAGAAGTTGTGTGAAAAATTTTAATATTATATTTTTCATCTTTTTAACAAAGATGAAATAACAACAAACAAAATAAATTTGTTAGTTATCCAACCTAACACAAAAACAGCCCAAAACCATTATTACTTCCAAAGTATATTTTCCCACGCAAAATAACTAAATTTGGATAATTAATTATTGATATTTTTAGGTAGTTTATTACCATTTTATGAAAACTTGATGATGGCGATTATCAGTACTATAAAAAGTTTTAATGTATTTAAGACATCGAATTAGGTTGAAAACCGCTCAACCGAGAACTTTTTCCATCTCTAATTATAAACATTACTAAATTTGTAGTTCTATTGTAATTCATTTGATATACTGTAATTATCTAGTATTTATTATAACAATTTAATTTATATTTAATATAATAATTCTTTTTGATATAACCTTTTACTTATAAAAAAAATCGGTTCTTTACTTCTTTTTTATTTTAAAAAAGTCAAATGTATAGAAAATGTTTCCTGATGAAATTTTACGTATATTTTGTTAACAAAAGTCTATTACTAGATATTTCACGGGGATGTGTGATATCAATGATTTTCATGGCTGCGCCGTGAAAATCAATGATATTCCTGTGACTCGTGAAATAACTGATTTATCCCACGGTATCTGTACCATTCTACCATAAAAGCCCTTTAATATACTTATTTTGACTAATAATGATATACTTTTTATTCCAATATTGATAAACTTTTTATCCATCTTTTCAAATAAACCAACCCATGAAAAAAAATCACAAATTTTAACTAGGAACCGTGGGATAAAATTTCTAATATGCAAAACGGTAACGCAGTGATGACGAATGACAAATCATTACCTGGGCCATTCGTAACGTGATATGATTTGCCATAAAAAATTTTGGCCAGAATTATGAGATCACGTAACTTTTAAATGATTTTAATGTTAAAATGGTTCAAAAGACACATAACCAGCAACTGGCCATTATTGCCATTATTGACGTTTTTATATATCGGAAAAACAATTAAACAAATGATAATTTGTACAATGTAAAAATTAAGGTGGCGTTTAATTTTTGTTAAGATTGCCCATCCACATAATAAATAAAAAGGTTATCGTGATCCTCGTGTAACTATTAATATTCGATTTTAGGTTAATAAAATTCATAAATTAGGGGTTTATGAACAAACAAAGTTAGTATTATCCCAAATAAACAACTTATTAAGGATTTATATGTTAAATATGTCAAAAATGTTATAAGAAATTATAATGTACAGTTTAAAAAGGTTTTTTTATTTTATTTAAACTAGAATATCCAATAAAATATAAGAATAATATTTATAATTTATATATACAATTTTTTTTAAAAAAAAAATACATATATTGAAATATACAGAATTTTTTTCTGACTATGTAATAATTAATTTATGCTAAAAATTCAATAAAATATATGAACTTCAAATCACAAATATCACTTTTTTTTTAAAGCATAAATAAAAAAATACTACTAAGTTCTTTTCGTGAATATTTACAACTAATTTTACATTTAACAAATATACAAAGTTAAAGAGAATTTTAGAATTTAACCATTTAAATTTTGAAATCATTATCATTATAAAAAATAGAGCTTTAAAAAAAAGGAGTCCCATTGAAAAACGAGTCTATCAATCGGTTATTTGTATTCTGTAGAGGTAAGTTTGGCATAATATTGACGCGATTTAATATGTTTACGCGGTTATTAGGATGCCGTAAACGTCTTCGAGTCCTCCTGTTTACTAATTGATTTCTCGTTGTATCAAATCTTGAAATCTGTGTTATTCCATGTCTTAAAGTACTTAAGGTCATTTTGCCGTTTACGTAAATATGACTTATTTTTTCTTTTTTTTTTTTTAGGAGAATAAGTAAAAAAACGTTTAGCAGTACACATAACAGAGAAGTGCCTATATTTATATACTATAATGTTACGTATCACTACCTTATTGACATAATGAAGTGCACAAATAAACGTTATGCCGCAGAAAAAATATATATATATATATATATAAATAGAAACACAAGATAAGAAAGTAACAATGATAACAATGATAAACGGTAAAATTAAATGAACAACGATTGTATGATCATCTTATGTGGATGATATCAAAAAAAATAAATAAATAAATAAATAAATAGAAAATTTAAGTTCTGATGAATAATTAATAATGAATAAAAAATTGATTGATGGATAGATTGATGGATGTAAACTGACGAATAAATTCTGTAAATAAGATAAAAAAAAATTGATGAAGATTGAAATTGAACTTTAAAGATTAAACAAACTTAAATGGTAAATAAAAAAGTCAACATGGCATTCATTATTAGTTTTGATAATCAACAGCATTTTAATTGAGATGATAATGATTGTTGATAGGCGTAATAAAAAACTTGTTATCCGCCGCTGAAAAGTGTTTCTTTGAACTTGAATGACAAATTAGTAGAATTATTAATAATATGTGTAAGTAAATAAAGTATTTATAATTTAGCAGCGGATAAGAAAATAATTTATCCATTTATATTTATATTAAATTTACAGCATGATTTAGAAGAATCTTTTTGCATAACTGAACAGCTTTTGATTATTACATAATTCTCTGGTAAGTAACATTTACGAAATGAAAGGAAAGATGAGAAAATGTATTTGTATACAGTATCATTATTTGTGATATTAATAAAATTCATAAAAAAATAAATTACATTTATCATCATACAAATATTTTATAGATTTCAAATATTTTTTTTTTAAAAAAAAAATTTCGAAAGAAAAGAAATTTTTGAGCTCTATTTATTCAATAATTTATTGGTCATTTCCTAGTTTATTAACTATTCATTGCGCACTTGGAATTATTATTTCTCTCAATTTTATTCTTAAACTCATCATCTAAAAATAGATTCATTTTCCTTTCATCCGGAGATAATAATCCGCCACATTTCCTTATCTAAAAAAACAATTTAATTAAAAATAAAAAATATTTGTAACCCAAATAAGTTATTAGAATTATTTATGCTTACGCAGTATAAAGTTTTGGAGATTAAGATACAAAAATTATTAGATGTTTGAGTATATAATATAATTTAATTAATCTGTTACAAAAATAATATTTTTTTATGTTCTCAATTTTAACCTTAAATTTTGTTTCGATAAGTTTTAAAATACGAAATCGATAATAAATAATAATACAATCATCAATATTAATACAAACAAAAGTTTATTAATAATCACAATTCCTGTTTTTTTTTGTTAGATAAAACGAGAAAACCATTTAAATGCTATTTATATCACAAAAAATTGTGTAGGTCTCGAACGTCTAACTATTTCCATTTTTCAAATATTTCGAATTTCATATTTAGTTTGTATTACGGGTCAAAAAAAAGTTGGCATAGCCCAATACCTAAACTAATTTTTATATACTTTAGTCTTGGCTTAGGAATTCTAGATGTATTTATTATATACTTAAATTAAGGAATATAACAATTAAAAAAGTTTTAATAATTATATTTATCAATGATCATCAATTCGATTTCCAAATTTCAATTTCCATTTTTTTTTTTTTTTTTTTTTTGCCTTTTTTTTCTTTGCCTC